ATATTTCGAAATTTAAGGACGCTAATTTACTTAAAATGTATACACCCCGGCTTATCATGTAGCGGTAGCTTTCGGAAAGGTGGAAAACATATATTTAATACTTGCGCCGGGTATTTAATGTTCGGCTCCGCCCGAACTTAGACTTTCTTACTTGTTGATTTTGCATTCGTTTTTATTTGCCGATATTTGAAGTCATCATCAGGACTGAAAAAATACATTATTACAATTACACACATTAATACATATGTACGTATAAACATAAACAAGTACAACTTACACATTTGACAATGTTTAATCGACTGAAACAGATGAGCGAAAAACAATATTTAAACCAAGGCAAATTTATATAAGGTGGTGTTACTAGCAGTGTTGCCGCGCCATCTCAAGAAAATGTATCCCTGACCAAGCCAAAAATGTATCCAAATGTATCCAATTTTCTTTTTTTACATATACATCTCATAACTTGTAAGAAAACCAAACATTTTCATGAAAAAGACATAATTTAACCCATGCTAAGGACTTGGAATGCATGTGCATAAAATCAAACATTTGTAATTTCAATTTATAAAGTACATTTTTTTTGCATAAGTATTTTGCAAAGTAAATATAATAAATAGCAAGTACACTCTAAAAAGAACATGTAAAACTACTACTGAAAAGTATCTATTTTTCAACAAGAATCTGTATAAATATACGTATAGGATGTTCAGTATTTGATTTTGAACTTAAGATCTTTAAAATATACACATAAATACACATATGTATAATGTTTAAAATTGCAAAAATTTTCAAACTACAAATACATTTCCTACTAATTATAAACATTCCTTTATTTTAAACACTTTATGTGTAAAAGTAAATAGGCAATGATTAATTTTATTACACGGCGTGCAAATTTGCATACATCAAAGAGGAAACTGGTTACCTCTCTCAATATGCGCAAATAAACAACATTTTTAGAGTGTATTTAAAGTCTTTTCAGTAAAATTCATAAAATTTTCCTTAAATAAAACAAATTTAGTTTTGTAACCTACATTGAAATCTTCTTTCTTTTTAAATTAACAAATGAAAATATGTGATATGAAAGAGATTACTACAGAAAGAGTATAATTTACTTTACATATATCGTCGTTTAAAGTACAAAACCGCGTATCGTCATTCTGCAAAACCGCGTAACTGACATTTGCTGCCAAAAATTGGATTTGCTCACACAAGCTCTTGGCTTCGTCCTGAAATATACTAGCCAGAAATGCGATTGCTTTATAAAAAAGAGAACCATTTTGAAATATAATTGTTTTTACTCGCTAGAAAATAATTTATGCAACGCCACATACGCGGTTTTGCATTTTGTTGATACGCGGTTTTGTACTTTAAACGACGATATGTATGTATATTAAGATCTTGCTTAAAGCATCCTTTTAAGCTAATTAAAGCAATTGCGCTTATACCTATTTTGGTGAGATCTCTTCATATGTTCATTGCTTCGTTCACAAAAAATAAAATGCTTTAATTTCACGCTTAAGTAGTGATTCTTTATACGTTTAGAAAACGTAATGCTTTCTACCATCTTTAATGAAAATCGATTTTTGAACGAAAAAAACATTATAGGAAATATAAAATTTTGGCCTATTTAAAAAAGTATCCACTTTTATACTGACCGGAAAAAATAAGTATCCCGCAAAAATTCGTCTAAAAATGTATCCAATTGGATCTATTTAGATCCAAACGGCATCCCTGGTTGAAATAATAAAAAGTGAAAATAGTGAGAATTTATGTAAACATATCTGTTTCTTAGCATCCTCGGAAAGTTTCATGAGAAAATTCGTTATAGTTGTGCTAAAACACACACATGTTGATGCACACTAAAGTCAACGCAAACTGTTTTACCACAAATGGTGTCGGGAAGTTTCACTCCGGAAACGCAAAGAATCTGCGGATAATTGTGTCAAACGTTCTGTAAGTGTGCATACATACAGATGCGATCAACTAATTAGCAACGAAATTCTAAATGATATTGTTTGCTAATTATGTTTATTTATTTACTTTTAATAATTTTAGTTTAAAATATAATCCAATCTATAACAGAAACGACAATAATAAAAGTTTAAAAGTTTGCACAAATTCCAAAAAAAAATCAAGCTTAAAACAGTTTCCATCAAAAATTTAAAATTTTTGATTAGAATATTTAGAAAGTTTTATGGTATGCAGTTTTGTAGCCCATTCAATTGTAGTATAAGAAAGTGCAAGTTTAAAGTCGATTTAAATTACCGTTGATTTTTTGGAATTTTTTTGTGGAGGGTACTGCTGTTCTTTTTTTCATTTAAAAAAAATAGACGGAGAGCTCATGACCAAAAAACTCATCATACTTCAGATCGGTTGAAATTTTTTGTGAGCTTATCTTGTTAATATATAAATCGAGATCTGGAGGGCTGGCTGCTGAACAGCGGTCTTTATTATGCGTTTTTAGCGATTAAAGATGTCTATGAAAACCGATTACTCAACATACTTCAGACGACATGAAATTTAGATAGAATTTTATTTACAGTGTATAGAAAATGAATTCAACGTTACCTGCCAATTCTGGTGGTCTTAGAGTACTGCCAGCCCATGTTGAAAGTGCATTGTTGCACCTATAATTCAACATACTTCAGATGACTTGAAATTTTGATACAATTTTATTTACAGTGCATATAAAATGAATTGAACGTTGCCTGCAAATCTTGAGGGTTTTAAAGTACAAACAGCCTATGTTGGAACTGCATTGTTGCACCTATAAGTCAACACACTTCAGATTACTCGAAATTTTGATAGAATTTTATTTACAGTGTATATAAAATGAATTCATGGTTTGCCTGCCAATTCTGATGGTCTTGAAGCACTGCCAGCCCATTATGAAAGTGCATTGTGGCACCTATAAGTCAGCATAATTCAGATGACTTGAAATTTTGATCAACATTTATTTACAGTGTATATAAAATGAATTCAACGTTGCGTGCCAATTCTGATGGTCTTAGAGTACTGCCAGCCCATGTTGAAAGTGCATTGTTGCACCTATAAGCCAACATACTTCAGATGACTTGAAATTTTGATACAAGTTTATTTATAGGGCATATAAAATGAATTCAAGGTTGCCTGCCAATTCTGATGGTCTTAAAGTACAAACAGCCCATGTTTAAAGTGCATTATCGTACCTACATATAAGTCAACATACTTCAGATTACTTGAAATTTTGATAGAATTTTATTTACAGTGTATATAAAATGAATTCAACGTTGCGTGCCAATTCTGATGGTCTTAGAGTACTGCCAGCCCATGTTGAAAGTGCATTGTTGCACCTATAAGCCAACATACTTCAGATGACTTGAAATTTTGATACAAGTTTATTTATAGGGCATATAAAATGAATTCAAGGTTGCCTGCCAATTCTGATGGTCTTAAAGTACAAACAGCCCATGTTTAAAGTGCATTATCGTACCTACATATAAGTCAACATACTTCAGATTACTTGAAATTTTGATAGAATTTTATTTACAGTGCATATAAAATGAATTCAAGGTTGGCTGCCAATTCTGATGGTCTTAAAGTACTGCCAGCCTATGATGAAAGTGCATTGTTGCACCTATAAGTCATCATAATTTAGATGACTTGAAATTTTGATAGAATTTTATTTACAGTGCATATAAAATGAATTCAAGGTTGCCTGCCAATTCTGATGGTCTTAAAGTACTGCCAGCCGATGTTGAAAGTGCATTGTTGCACCTATAATTCAACATACTTCAGATGACTTGAAATTTTGATACAATTTTACAACTGTAAAACAACATACTTCAGATGGACTGTCGTTATCACAGGACATTATTAATACTACACCTTTTCAAGTTTATAATGAGAAAATAAAAATTGATAATGAGAAATGAAAATTCATATTGAGAAAATACAAATTTATAATGAGAAATGTAAATTCATATTGAGAATATATAATCTGATAACGAGAAACGTAAATTGATATTGAGAAAATACAAATTGATAATGAGAAATATAAATTCATATTGAGCAAATACAAATTGATAATGAGAAATGTAAATTGATATTGAGTATATATAAATTGATAATGAGAAAACGTAAATTCATAATGAGAAGTTGCGTACACTCAGGCCTATCGCTGGGACGTTACCGAAGATACGGAAGCAAAACCAAGAGGTGTAAGCGACCGAAAAACTGACTGAAGACAACGTGATGACTATGTTATCCTGGCTTGAAGGTGACTGTAGTTTTACCCTTGGAAAATTAAAAAGAAAAGTACAAAACCAGTTTAATGTAGAATTGAGCACCACCCACAGTGGCAAATTATCTCGAGGGCAATCTGTACAGTTGCAAAAAAGTCCATACGCAACCAATAACCATGAACTCGCAGGATAACAAATTAAAACGGCCCGAAAGTGGTAAACAAATAGCATGGAAGGATGAAACAAATTTTAATTTGTTTTGCCGAATGTCACGTGGCCGATAAAAAAATTGACCTCCGCGCCACTCTACAGCTCCCTACTTCCAAAGGGCCAAACGTCCACTTTATTGATGCAATAACCGCAACTGAAGTGTTACACATAAAAAGGCAAACGGGGGCGCTCACACACAGCGGGGGTGTAAATGCGTTGTCCAACTTTAATTTCGGGTTGTATATATTATAAATTTTTTTGGCAGTGTCCTTTGATGCTGGCTTTAATTCAACTAATATCGCGACATTAGCTCGCAGACTCCAGAGTAAAGTACTTGTAGCTCTCCTTTGATATAATTTTTTATGTTCTCATTATCAATTTACATTTTCTCATTAGGAATTTTCGTTTTCTCATTATCAATCTATATATTCTCATTATGAACTTACATTCCTCATTATCAGTTTATATATTCTCAATATTAATTTATATTTTCCATTATCAATTTTTATATTCTCATTATGATTTTATATTTCTCATTATCAACTTATATATTCTCAATATAAATTTACATTTCTCATTATGAAGTTGTAATTTCTCAATATGAATTTACGATTCTCATTATCAATTTGGGATTTCTCAATATGAATTAACATTTTCTCATTATAAACTTGAAAAGGTGTAGTGCGTCTTTTAATGTGCTGTTCCTTAGTTCTTTGCTAAAATCCCAGGGTCGAGTTTGTTCAGGTCCTGTGATATTATAGTCTATGTTGTCAACATTTCCTCTCTAAATGCGTTCTTAGTCCTTTATGGATGGAGATAAGTATTGGTCGAATATGATGTCGTATCGTTTGGCCGGTGTCTTCTGCATAAATGACATAATTTTTTTTGATCAATTCCCGAAAGTATTTGGAATTTCTCTTAGTGAATGGAGGAGGAAAAATCTATCGATGATGACAATGTCGAAAATTTGTGGTATATTAGCGGCAGTATTTATTTGTAAAACATGAGTAATAGCAGATTTCTCAGTTTTACAAATAGTTCCATCAGAGTTATATCCAACAATTTTTATTGAGCTCGAGGCCGTTTTTAATGAAAACTTATTGTGGAAAAGCAACAATAATTTGAAAAAATGGTAGAAGTGATAGCTATTTCGGATATCACCACATTTCCTCATCAGACTTCTTTCAGTAGGATTCGAACCGACGATCACACTGACTCAGCCAGTTGCCTACGCACTGTGCTAAGTTCGCCTTGTTAATTATTGTTGCTTATTTCCACAATATCCCTTGCTAAGCCAACTACAATCAAGCGCAGCTATTCCGCTGCAATTCACTTGATCATGTGGTTGTTGGTTTTTGTTAATATTTCTATTATTAGAATGATTAACTTTTAGGTGTGCTCGTCCTTAAGTTATTTGTTTTTGTTATTTTATGGCCGTATAACAATTATATTTAACAATTTTTATTGAGCTTGAGGCCGTTTTTTTAATGAAAACTTTTTGTGGAAAAGCAAAAATAATTTGAAAAAATGGTAGAAGTGATAGCTATTTCGGAAAGTTCCATCAGAATGGAATAATGACAATGGAATCGGTGTTATTGGATATGATAATTTTTTTTCGACATCGATATTGAAATCCATAGATAATGCCACAATCCGAGCAAATAAATCTCGCTGTAAACGTATTTCGTAAATCTTGTTTGCAATATTAACTTTACTTCTCACTGCATTGGCTGAAAAGTTCTGGATTTTGACCATTTTTATGGGTTTCTCGAATCGTTCCGAGTCTGCCGAGCACTGATGAATGATGTGATCATCAGAATGGGCTGGCTGTAGATATTTCATTTATCTATAATATTCATAATGTCCTGTGATAAGGACAGCCCATCTGAAGTATGTTGAGTTATGGTTGCAACAATGCACTTTCTTAATAATACTTTAAGAGCATCAGATTGGGCTGGCTGTAGATATTTCATCTATTTATAATATTATTAATTTGATGTGATAAGGACAGCCCATCTGAAGTATGTTGACTTATAGTTGCAACAATGCACTTTCAACATGGGCTGGCAATACTTTAAGACCATCAGATTGGGCTGGCTGTAGATATTTCATCTATTTATAATATTATTAATTTGATGTGATAAGGACAGCCCATCTGAAGTATGTTGACTTATAGTTGCAACAATGCACTTTCAACATGGGCTGGCAATACTTTAAGACCATCAGATTGGGCTGGCTGTAGATATTTCATCTATTTATAATATTATTAATTTGATGTGATAAGGACAGCCCATCTGAAGTATGTTGACTTATAGTTGCAACAATGCACTTTCAACATGGGCTGGCAATACTTTAAGACCATCAGATTGGGCTGGCTGTAGATATTTCATCTATTTATAATATTATTAATTTGATGTGATAAGGACAGCCCATCTGAAGTAT